CACACACACACACACACACACACACACACACACACACACACACACACCTGTTGTACACACACCCTTGCTGTAGCTTCATAGGCAAGATTGTCGTGGGCAAGACTAAAAGCTCCCCACTAATAATCCAGCCCTCTTCAGGATGGTTGCTGATGGCTGGAATTTAAGAAAAATGAAAATCACCTCATTTAGGATGAGTTTCAGCTAAAGGAGATTCACTTGCAACCCTAATCCAGGGTCTAAACTGTAGGTGAAACTAAAGCAAACGTCAGGCTTCCCCACTGGAGTCTCCTGGTGGCTGCATTGTAGTGGGAGAGTCCCGGAGAGGACTCCACCTCTAGCAAAGGTTTCCTCTTCAGAAACCTTTAAACTTTCCCAAGTTCACTTTCTTCAAAGTGAAGTGTTCCATAAACCTCCAAAGTGAAACACTTGGCTTGCTACAATTAGATCTGTCCATGATAAAGTGAGGTCCTATCAAGTTCTTTTTGTTTTCCCAATTATGATATGAACATACTGAGGGATGTTTGCAAGGCAGTAACATTCATCCTTTATATTTCAAATGGTTCCCATGTTCTTCCTTTGTATAGAAATGCTTTCCTTCTTCCTCATTTAGCCAACTCTTCTTCCTCCTTCAAGACTCAACGCAAGTGTTTCCTCTTTCAGGAAGTCTTCCCCAGTATCCACCCTTTTACATAATTCTTATCACATTGTGCCTCTCCCTCACTGCCCAAGGCTTTATGTCAGGGATTATGCTTATTTGTCTGTATATCTTCACGCTTGGGCATAGTACCTGGACTTAGCAGCTGTGCAGCTAAGGCCTGTAGAATAAATGGACCTAAGACTCTAGAAGTAATAATTAGAATACTTGGCATATCTTATCTCTAATCCTAATTATATCCTTTCAAGGTATTATTATGCACACTCTACAGACTGGGAAAATTGAGATGTTAAGTGTCTTGAGGAACTCCACACAACAAGCACAATAAACAGGATTCAACCCTAGGTGTGGGCTTACCCCAAAAGCAAGATTATTTTTCATTTTATCACCCGTCTCATAAGAATGGATAAAAGGACAAGAGGTCTTTTGGTTCAATTCAGCAAGTAAGAATTTGAAGTTTCGGTTTTCATAAATCAGAGATACCTATAAACCTGAAGTCTAAAATAACAGAAGGAATGTAAAATAATCCAGATGATAGCTAGTGAGAAAATTATTCATACCACTATGATTCTTTATGTCACTGGTATTTGATGCCACTAAGAAGCTTCTACTAATTACTAATAATTGCTAACACTCACTGAACATCCACTATGCACCAGACACTGTTGTAAGATTTCCATGTGCTTTATCTCATTTCACTTCATCCTCAGCACAGATTTATCAAGTAGATACCATTATTATCCCCTTTTACTGATGAGGAATCTGAAGTTGAGAGAGGCTGGAATAATTTGCCCCAAGGTCACATCATTAATGAGTGGTAGAAGTTTCACTCCAGAAACTTTCTCTCCTTGGTCTGCTCTTCTTGGCGGAGGAGAAGCCTGGTGAAAACCAAATGTGCTCTCAAATATGCCAGATCCTAGATGCATGTTGGGTCAAAGATGATATGGATAGTTCAGCCATTCCACAGTTAAAAGGCTCCCCTTTGCTTTTCCATTCCCTGAACAATTTATCCTCGGAAGGGTCTGCACTTTTAAAATCATAAAGCTTTCAATGAAGCAAGGAGCAAAGTACACAAATGCATGGTTATGAACTCAGTCTCCTTCCATTTGTACGTTAAAATATGCTGGGAAGTCATTTTTTTTTAATTTTATCTTTGGGAAGTATTTTTTTTTTTCCTGTGTGTGCATGAAAGAAGCAAATGCCAAGATAGAGAGTGAATTAGATAACCTTATAATGACGATGGTTCTGTTTAACATGGGAGCATCATTTCACTTAACAGGATCTAATAAGGCAGGGCAGTCAAGTCACCAGGCTGCCCTGTGTCTGCAGAGTTTGTAATATTCTGTATAGCACCAAATCTCTCTCCTGAGATCCCTGGGAAGGATGCATGATGGCAGAGCTCTTGTATGACATTCATCTTCATGAGTGAGCTGTTCCATCTCCTCTCACGAGCAGAGATAAATGTCAGAAGAGATCAGCTGTTGTGTATTACATGGCCACTCTGAGCATGCAGCTTCCCTCCCTCTGCCCTTCAGCACCAAAATTACTTTAGACCAGAGCTGGGAGAAAATTCAAAAAGGTGTGAGGCTGTGTACATTAGAGGGAGAAGCAGACCGCAGGGAAGTAAATAAAGCAGGAACTAAAACAGTCCTTGCTTGCTTTTACAAGAGGCATGGAAAAATAAGCCTGCCCAATTCTGTTCTTCCCTCTGGAGGATCCCTTTTGATTTTCTGGCTTAGGGATCTGCCAGGTGGGTGGGCAAGGGGGTGGGATGGGGGGGGGAGGAGGTACCCCGGGGAGGGGCAAGAAGATCAGATCTGCTGAACACAGGGAGAAGATATTAGGATTTCTCTTTAAATTTATTATGATCTAATAAGGAAGAAAGTTGTCTAAGGTTTAATATGGGGATGGACAACACTGCCCTTATGCTGTCCAAGTCAAGCTACTATGATGAATAATTCTAAAACAAGCTAGATTACACTGCAGCAGTCTTATCCATTCTTCTCTGTTGTTTTCCAGGGCTGGAATATGAAAAATGCATTACATTTTATATCTATGGTTTTCATATGTCAGGTAGTTTAGTATCGACTGCTGTACAGTAGGCTTCTTGAGGGAGGGATGAGAATAGCTCACCATCTCTCTCATTCTTTAGATTTTAGCTTCTGGCAAGGTATTTAAACTTGCAGAAGCCTTCTCTAGTGGATCTACAGATTATATTATCTAAATTAAACTAAACCCTGCAATATAGATAATTAGTTTTTTCTAAATTCTGCTTGGAATTCAGAGATGGATAATAATATTACATTTTAAACACAAATGACCGAGAAAATGAAAGAACTGACGTGACCTACCTCCTACCTTAATATTAGCTCTTTCTCAAGAATTCTTATTTGTGTAAAAATTATCTAATTAGATTGGAGAAGTTAACCACAATTTTTCAAAATTAGCCAAAAGGCAATTTACAACTATATTTTTCATGGTAAACCTTAAGTGTATAGGATACCCCGAGTTACCAATAGTAAAAAATATATATAACAATTTTACATTTAAAATTTAAAGATTTAAACTTAAAATTATTTTTCTCATCTTTTCCCCATGTCTTAAAATTCTAAACTTTCTGCATGTTTTCTAGTATGCATAATATATTAGTATAGTAGGGCGTGTATAATTGATTTTTTAAAATTATGAACAATTCTATATTCAAAGTACATGCATTAGTATATCTTACCAAAATAGTCTGGAGATCACTTTCTAAGTGATGATGCTCGGACCCACAAAGCAGTCAGCCCACCTCCTTAACTGATCACTGTTGCTATCACTTTTTGAAGGAAATGGATATCCCATTCTTTCTGAGTACTCTTTTCTTTCACCCTCCCATAAATATACTCAGGTACCATGGCTCATGGTTCTCTCCACAATAAGCACCCTGGCACCCCCTTTAGAACATGGTACTAAATATAAGAATGTAATAGAAATAAGACTTCTGAGTTCCTGATGACATATTGGAGACAAAGAAATAGGAGGTAAAGTTCTCCCAAATTAATACATTAGAGAGCATAAAGTCAGGGATGAAGCCACAAAACCTTCAAAAGCAGATCAACTCAAAGATTGTGATGGGTAAAAGAGAGAAATAAATACATTGTATAATCTAAGGCATTCTATGGTAGGGAAAGGCACTCTGATTTGCAGTTGAATAGAGACACACATAACGTATCTATCTTGTTGTTAGATCACATTATTGGAAATATGTTAACACAATGAGGTGAACTGGTGTAAAACAAACTATGTTATAATGTAGCAACCTTATCCATTCATCTCTGTTGTATTCATGGCTGGAAGATGAAAAATGAATTACATTACACATTCATGGTTTTCATGTTACCCCTCTGTTACTCTTTAATCACATAACAATTGTCTTGTTAATGAATCTAAAAGCTATTAACACTAACATTGTCTTTCTTCAGGCCAAGGCTCCGCTTTGGGATGTTTGATTTCTTCCTTTTCCTCTTGGCAGATTCTAAATCCCCTTAAGCCCATGCCTGATCCCCCATCTCCAAGGAAGCAGCCTCCAGGGAGAGCTATTCCCCCCCCCCCTTCCCCCAGAGGATGCTGAATGTTATGTTTATCCAATCTCTTACTAACCTCCAGATCCAAGCCCACTGCAAGCTGGGTCTTTCATGTTTATTTAGAATTACTATTTCTCAAGGACACTAGAAGTTATTCTTGACACACCAAAGTCCAAATTTATGCTTCCATTATTTTCCCCTACAGCTGTGGCCCCTGTCACCTTGAGATGATTTTAGTCTCAATCTCTTTGGACCATAAGAGGATCCTGAGAGTCTGTAGATAGGTGGGTCAGAAAGTCATTGCTATGGAAAACCAACAATATTGTATGGCTTTGCTATTGTTCTGAAGAATATAATGAAAATACTACCCAGGTCCATATTCTAATACATCCAAGACTAAAGACTGCTGACTCTTTCATTACAAACTGTTAGCCCATCTCTGTGCTTTATAGACTATCCTTACTTCTATGGTGATGATTGCCCTTGTGTCTGATAGAGCAACAAGATTCTTGACCTTCTTATCTGTCAATGCTCCTGTCCTTACAGTCTCAAAAGCCAAGAGGCATAAGCATTTTTACTCTTTCTTTTTGATATCTGCAACTATCCTGAACTCAAGAATGCCTGATAATATTTTTAGGGGCCTCCTGTAATCTCAGCAAGAGATATAAATTACTTTATCCAAGAAAATAAGTACTAGCCTATCAGTTTTTTATAAGCAACCAGCAACAAGCTAATAATTAGCTACATAGTTTCTACCTGTCCACACTCCCTATCCTTTTTTTGTCTTATGTATTTGTATTTTATTTTCTAGCAAAGGAAAATGCACAAATAAGCAATTCATGGGTCTGGAATGCATGCATGTATTTTATCAAAATATATGGATAATTCAAATTTCATTACAACTTTACAGGATACATTGATGAAAGTGGCTACTGATCAAGAGTTGAAGATGAATTCTGAAAATACCTTTCTCTTCTATTTTTTCCAAAATTTATCTTTCTGTGGAGGAACAGTTACTTAAGTATATTTCTCACATATTCATGTTTATCTGCTTTGGAAAACTGAAGCATGAGATGGATAAGAATAAGTTAGAATATCTCACACTTTTTGTTCACTGGGACCAATGGAAACAGGCAAAGAACTGAAGCTTGATGCACTAATCATAGGTTGAGTCTATGTAATAATATCCAACAGTAAGGTCTGAAGGTTTTAAGGTGTTTAAATAAGAATAGGTGACTTTTCAGAAAAATCAAAAGATATTTCTTGAGGTCTACCGTGGGTGCCATTTAACACGCTTAGGCTTCTGAAGGACAGAGCGTTTGCCACTGGAAGAGTGACAAGTACAGCAGACAAGCACAGATTGCTCAGGTTTATAAGATTAACATGGAGAAGCAGGAAATTGAGAGAGAACAGAAGAGCAAAGGAAGCTAACAACACTCTAACTTACTTGTAATAACAGATTTCATAGCCTGTCCGTACCCAGGCAGGTCTGCCAAGAAGAGCCTCCTTCACAGAATACAGAGTTGGCTGCATCCCTACACAAAATAAAGGCAGGATTAATCCATTAGGTCAGGGGGCGGGGAATAGAAAAGGAGAGCTGTGGTAGATTGAATAATGGCCCTCAAAGATACCCAGGTCTTAATCCATGGAAGCTGTATATTAACCTTATATGACAAAAGGGACTTTGTAGATATAATTAAATTAAGTACCTTGAGATGGGGAGATTATCCTGGTGGGCCCTAAATTCAATCACACATGTCTTTCCAAGAGGGAGGTAGAGAGAGGTTTGACTACAGAGGAAAAGCAATGTGGCCAAAGCAGAGAGATTTGAAGATGTTATGCAGCTGACTTTGAAGATGGAGGAAAGGGCCATGAGCCACGGAATGTGAGGAACATACCTCTAAAAGCTGGAAAAGGAAAGGAAACAAATAATCCCCTAGAATGTCCAGAGGAAGCATGGCCTTTCCAACACCTTGACTTAAGACCAGTGAAACTGATTTGGGACTTGTGGACTCCAGAACTGTAAGAGAATATATTTGTCTTCTTTGAAGCCACAAAATGTGTGACAATTTGTTACAGCCGCTGCGTCAAGTGAATACAAGAGTCAAGGCTCACCTTTTCTCTCTCTATACCAGCATGAGTCTATTTAATCAGTACAAAATAGAGGTAATGTCCTATGCTCGGACCTGAAGCTACGGGGAATATTTTTTCCTTACTCAGAGCCACTAATACATTAGTATGTGAGCCAGCAATAACACGCAGAATTTCCCATTTCTAGAAACATTCAAAATAAATATGGGCTATTAGTCAGTCATTATCCCTTGAACGCCCCCTCTAAAATTGCCACAGGTATTCAGGAGAATTTAAACTTTCTCCAGTGTTTTCTGAGAGTGTAAATCGGTGTTGTCCAATGGAATTGTGCCATTTGCCTGTCTGTGACAAATATCAACAGATCAGTACATTTGCTCCTATGGGATTTAGGAGGTGGAGAGAAGGAATAAATGAGAGGGCTCACTGGCCTCAAAAAGTTGAAGGTGGGTCAAGGGAGGCAGGAAGCGGTGGAAAGTTATGTGAGGTATTAACATTTCATAGCAGAGGGAGAGTTTCAAGCTTCCCCTCCCATAGCAGCAATTTACCATAGGTTGGCGGCCATCTTGCGATACCTGGCAACCAAAACGTGTCAGTCCAACTTCAAACCCTTTGCAACCCAAGCAGGGCTTCTGATAATAATTCAAGCACTCAAAAGTGACATCATTTTTGGTGTTATTGAGAAAGTCTCTATTTCCCAAGAGCTCATACCGTAATTGAACTGGCTGTTGGCCTTCTCACAGTTGATAATGTTGAAGCGATAAGGGACCTCCTCCCTCATACCGCTCACCTTGAAGTAGAACCACTGCTGGTGCTGTGTGCTATTCACATCAGCATTGATCAGTAAGTCGTACTCCAACCTGCAAAGTCAGAAGCAAGATCAGAGGGTTAAAAGCCTTTAAGAGAACTTCCAATACTGAGAAATCTACACATCTCAGGTTCTGGATGATAGATGTAAAATCCAGGATCTTGGTTGGCTGGTAAGTTATAGTTATCATCCTTATCTCACAATATTGGACGGAGGCTTTGGAAATTTAAGGAGGGGGGAGCAGTGTCCTGGTATTAGAAGAGTCAGTTATACAATTATAGCCTATCTTTTTATTAAATGGTAATGAAGTTTCTGTCCAGCTGGAAAAATGCAAGTGTGCTCTATCCTGGAGAAAATGTGGTCACATCTGGTTGGATATGCCATTACTAGTTGATGTTAGACATGACTTTTGAGCATCAGTCTCCTCAAATGAAAAATAGAAATAGTGTCTAGGGACTTCCCTGGTGGTACAGTGGTTAAGAATCTGCCTGCCAATGCAGGGGACATGGGTTCAAGCCCTGGTCGGGGAAGATCCCACATGCCACAGAACAACTAAGACCATGTGCCACAACTACTGAGCCTGTGCTCTAGAGCCTGCGAGCCACAACTACTGAGCCTGCGTGCCACAACTACTCAAGCCCGTGCGCCTAGAGCCCATGCTCCACAACAAAGAGAAGCCACCGCAATGAGAAGCCCGCACACTGAAATGAAGTGTAGCCCCCACTGGCCGCAACTAGAGAAAGGCCGCACGCAGCAACAAAGACCCAACACAGCCGTAAATAAATAAATAAGTAAATTTTAAAAAAAGAAGTAGTGCCTAAACTTGCAGTACTGTTTGTAAAGATTAAGTAGTATAATATATGTAAATCTTCAGCAAGGCAACAAACATGAATTAGACTGGCAATGAAAGATCTGTCTGTTTGTTTTCTCCATTTTTAACTGATTTAGTTTACATGAAGTAAAGTACACAGATCTTAAATGTACAGCTCAGTGAGTTTAAGCAAATTCATCTGGATACACCTGTGTGACAACTCCCTGGATCAATATGTAGAACAGTTCCAGCACCCCAGAAAGTCCTTATGTGTCCCCACCCAATCACTATGTCTCCAAAAAATTACTTTTTCAAGCTTGAGCAACAGAATTAGCAATAAAGCTTTGACTTAAACATTATCATCAGGATATTTCATTTTCAGAAATATTCTTATCCCATCCCCTTGGCACGCTCTTTGAGTTGCTCTTCTAGAAAGGGCAATGGTTTTGCCCTGATTCATTCATACTCACCTACTCTGGCCCTCTGATTAAAGGGCAGTGTATAGTGAGATTTGTGGAAGGGAAGAGCTTTGTTGAAGCCGTAGCAGAGCAGATGGTGCCCCACCCCTCCCATCATCACTATAAGCAACACACTCTAACCAATGAACTCACCATACAATGAATGAAGCTATAGTTGGCACTATAGAGACACTCATGAGAACAATTCCAGGAAGTCTATGACCCTCAAATTGTCTGCTATGCCCACAACGCTCTCTCCAAAAAGTGATCATAAAAAATCCTTGCCTGTAAGTAGGTTTGTTTTCTGTCATTTGACCCTGTCACCCAGACCACAACTGATGAGTTTAGGATTCTACACTCTGGCCAAAGGCAGATATAAAGAGAAAGACCTGAGTAAGGCCAGGAGCTTAGGCACATTCTGGACTGCTCATTTTCTCACTAGGAGATTCCTAATCAGGTCTTCCCTCCTGGATCCTTGGAACATGATAAATGAAGAGAATAAATAATAAAAGCAGGAGCTGTAGGAAGAAGAGGCTGAGATAGCAAACAAGAAAGAGAAGGAGGGGCTTCCCTGGTGGCGCAGTGGTTGAGAGTCCGCCTGCCGATGCAGGGGACACGGGTTCGTGCCCCGCTCTGGGAAGATCCCACGTGCCACGGGAGGGGCCGCAACAGTGAGAGGCCTGCGTACCGCAAAAAAAAGAAAGAGGAGGCTGAGGAGGAATCTTAACATGCCTGCCTTTCCCTTCTCCATCCCAAACAGCTCCACTTGTATTTGTTATACGTTGGGCTTCCTTGAAATATTTCATGTATCAGAAAAAATTACTTACCACTCTCCCAAAAAGGGAAAACTTCGAAAATGTCTCCTTGGAGGGGGATACAAAACAGGGCTGAGCCATACTGAGTATGGCCCCTGCAGCTTTCCTTACTTACTCACGCACTTGGATGGCTTTGCGAAGATTTCCAGACTCAAACTTGGAGAAGAACCGTAAGCAGTCAGAAGTGGTGTCTTGCAAAGGCCTGTAATGAAATAGAGAACCTCTGAACATAGGACTTATTGCCATTCTTGGGCACAATTTATTTAACATTTCTTAGAGATAAGCTTTCTCTTACAGATCTTTAACCCAAATTTTCACTGTGTTGATTTTAGGAGAAGGAATGGATTACTAACTTAAAACATCCTTATGCTCATGCCATTACAAGGATATTCTATACTCCCACCCCCCTCATTCCACTGATGTTCAAGACCACCTACCAAGGCTCATCTAGACTGAAGACAACTTTATTTATAATATCGCTTGGCTGGATGAGCCTCCGGACATCCTCAAATATTTTGATCCTGGAAAAGAAAATCGGAAACATTTTAAGGGTTGGCCCTCACTCCTTACCCCATTCATCCTATGGTCATGTGGGAAGGGCCTTGGGACTCATCAGAGAATTATGAAAGAAAAATGTAATAATGCTCCAACCTGGAGCTGAATGAGTACAAAAAGCACCACCCCTCCCTCCTTTTCTTCTTTATCAAAAAATAAAACTACACTGAGCAGTAGGAATGTAGGAAGCAGTGATGCCAGAGTTTAGTTTTAGGAGGATTCTCTACTCAAAGCAGAGCTTTGTCAAGAGCATTTGGGCGGAGGGGCTTTGAAGCCTCTGGCTGTGTGAATAAGAGGGCCCTCTGCACTAAGACAGTTTTGAAGGAGACACTAGGATTGCTGATGGTCTGGGAGGCTCCAATAAGCCTTTGAATTCTTGTGTCATTTATAGTCCTTGGTTCTGTTTGCTCCAGAAGACTATGGTCAGTCTTCTCTCTGAGAAACACCAATATCTGGGAGATTTAAGTAAGAGGGAGGAAGGATACCTAAGGGATATTTCAGAATCCCTCCTTGAATTTCTGATCCAGGTCTCTGGGGCGGGGAGGGATAGGAGAAGGGGGAGGGAAGGTCAAAATGAGGCCTAGACTCAGGGGAAAGGTGTCCTGTCCAGTGGGGAGCTATTGCTGGGCCAGCCCCTGTGGTGTGTCTCTCAGGAACTTGAGCATGGAGATAAGGTCAGAGGGGTGAGGTCAGAGATGTCAGCCAGGAGACCAAGTGGGAGCAGTTCTTGGGATCCACCATGAATTTGCTGATGAACTTGCTAATAAGAAAACTTACTGCTGTGCACACTTTGCTCCATAGACTTAGTGTACGCATACTTAGTATATTTTCTGGGAAAATAGTTTTCTCCTTGAGTTTAGTAATTTTCTTTTTAATCTCGCTATGCCTATTCAAAGGCAAAGCTCCGTTTCACGCATCCTGGGAATAATCCATCACACAACGTTTCTTCCCTGCAGGATGCATTTCTTTTCCTTACAATCCTCAGTGATGCAGCAAAACTATTCCCCGAGCCAAGTCAGGTTCTATAAGGTTGGGACTGTGGGATGGAGGTCCACCACCTCCTCTCACTAACAAGAGATCAGATTCCAATTTGCAGTAAATGAGAAAAGTGATCCCAAATAATCCATACTTGTTTTTTCCTGAGAACCTTCCCTTAAGGAATGATCCCAGTATTTGGAGAAACTGGACAATCTTTCCATTTTGTAGGATTTGCAATGGATATGGGGTAAGGGGTTGCATTAGAATCATCTAAGAAATTCTTTTTGTGGAAACACATGTCTACCACCACCCTACCCTTGGCTCTGAAATGTCCTAGTAGGGAGGCAAGCTTGTAAATTTGGCGAAAATTTCCTTAAGGCTTTTTTTTTTTTTTTTTTTTTTTTTTTGTGGTACGCGGGCCTCTCACTGTTGTGCCCTCTCCCATTGTGGAGCACAGGCTCTGGACGTGCAGGCCCAGTGGCCATGGCTCACAGGCCCAGCCGCTCTGCAGCATGTGGGATCTTCCCGGACTGGGGCACGAACCCGTGTCCCCTGCATCGGCAGGCGGACTCTCAACCACTGCGCCACCAGGGAAGCCCTCCTTAAGGCTTTTAACATGCTCCTGACTAATGCTCACTTTCCTGAAGATAACAGAATTATCTGTACAAACCATTCCACCTACAAAAATACTAAAGAAGAAAAAATATATATAGCTCCCAAGGTAGTAGCACCATCACCTTTGGACTCCACATTTACGTTCCAACATGGACTGGGCAGAGGGAGGTGGACAATGCCCCCAGAAATCAGGAAATGCCGTCATTGCGAAGTCAGACACAGATCTGGTTCTTCTAGCTTTGGCCATATAAAGATAGGGGTCATGGAAGGCGATATGCGTCGGATGTGTCTGCAGGAGCTTATCTATTAATTCAGCAGTTTCTCTGGGTCTAGTGGAATTGGAAAAGGAGGCACTTATCCTTGGGCAGGAAATCGCATCTATGTCCCAAGCATCCTCTTTGAAGGACGCCTGAATGCCTGAGGTTTCACTTCCAGAAGAACCTATCCCAAGACCATTGGATTGTGCATTTCGGTATGGGTTCATTCCAGGTCCTTTTTTGGAGGTTAGATGTATGTTGGACCTCCCCATCTTCACTCTGCTCAGAAGGGAGGTCTGGACAGGGACTTCTCTTTCTTGTCCCCAGGAGATTTGGTCCTTATTCAAGCAAAGCCCTTTTGGGGAAGCAGCAGTCAGAATGTGGTGGTGACTGGCATACTGAGTCTTGTCAAAGTTCAAACCATCTCCAGGTTTGGACTCCAGTTCCTTCAGGTTAAAAGTGGAAAAGAATATGTCAGTGTTTCTTTCCAAGTAGAGAATACAATCTGAACCCTGTCCTCACTCTTTGGGCACAGAGCTAAGCATAAATCCTGAGCACTGGAAAACTTTTTCCAAGGTCAGTCAAGGAAAGACTAAGCTTCAAGAGTCAAAGAAATGGCAGAATCCTAGAAACGCACACTTGAAAGGGGCATTTGGTGGGTCTAGTATGAGTCTATGCAGTACATGAACGCCTCCTACAACACCCCCAATCATTTACAGTCTGGTTGAACGACTCATTTACAGAAACTTCCCTGTATCCCAAGGTGGTTCCTTTTATTTGAGGATCATTCTGATTGTTTAAGAAAAATTCTTTTTTATTCTGAATTAAAATTTCCTTCCCTGAAACTTTTACCCACCAATGCCCTTCTGCTTTCTAGAGTGAAATACAATACGTCAGCTCCCTTCTATAAGTGACTTAGCGTGTACCCTTAGATATGGCCAAATTCATGGTTTATTAAGAATCATAAGAAAATAATGGAGGTCCAAAAGCAGATCTAAATTTTGGTGGGAGCAGCAGCAGAAGAAGCAGCAGCAACCAACCACTGGATTAACATGACCAGGTATAAGGTGCTTGATTTGTTTCTGCTAACAAAGAAACCCTAGAGTCAGGCTGGTCACCTTCAGAAAGCCATCTCATACAACCAACCCACTCTCACAAGAGAACGATTAAATCACCATGAATTTTCACTTGCTTTCCCAGGACGTGAGAGTAAGGCACCTTGCCCACCAGACAACAGGCAGCAATGTGAACCTTCATCCTACTTCCTTCTGAGGTGATGGGTGTCAGATTGTACTGATAGGACCCTTGCATGCATCCTATCTATGCCACCTTGTCTCATTTTTGTTTAGCCTTTTACTTCCCTCTCAGAAAGATCCCAGAAGCAGATTGCTAAAGATGAGCAATGCTTTCCATCTGGAGACCAGTTTGGATTCCCAGGGTCTGCAAAGAACCCATTAGCATCACCGAGGAGTAGGCATACATTCTACCTCAAAACTGCAGGAGAGCTCAAGACACATCGCCTCATATTGCATCAGTTCCTCTTCAGGTCGATCAAGACCAGGTTTGGAGCTCAGCTTGTTCACATCTGTTTCCAAGTCATCATCCTACAATGGCACATTCAAAAAATATGTTACAATCAGGAGAGCCATCCTGAGAAATATCGAGACAAGCTACAGGTGTGACTTTTCAGAATCCTGGGACACGGTTTCCTGGCCTCCAAGTTATAGTGCTAGCCTAGTCAAGGATAATTTAATAGGTAAGGCTGTATTTTTTAAATACTAAGAAAGATTATAATTTTTCTCAGTGCTCATGTTAGTATTTATCAGCCTTCATCATAAATAATATATGTAAAATGAGATGAACTATGTAAACGATGAAGCACAATACCAAAGAATTGTTTTTATCTCGTCACCACTGTCTTTGACATAACTGTGATTGTCGTACCTATTCATCTATCTACCTATTTAGGTCACTCTTTTCACAAACGTTTAATGAGCACCTACTATGAGTGGGCACTCTCCTAGGTACTAAAGACTCATTGATAATTGAACAGACCAAGGTCCATGATTCCATAGAACTTGCCTTCTAGTGAGAAAAGGAAGACAGTAAGAAAGCAAACAAATGAGCAAGGTAACTTCAAACAGTGATAAATGTCATGGGAAGAATGAGAGGTGGTGAAGTGATTGAGTGAGGCTGGGGTACAAAGAAGTTAAGGAGGTCACTTTTTTTTTTTTGCAGTAGGCGGGCCTCTCACTGTCGTGGCCTCTCCCGTTGCGGAGCACAGGCTCTGGACGCGCAGGCTCAGTGGCCATGGTTCACGGGCCCAGCCGCTCCGCGGCGTGTGGGATGTTCCCAGACCGGGGCACCTGCATCGGCAGGTGGACTCTCAACCACTGCGCCACCAGGGAAGCCTGGAGGACACATTTTAACAATAACGGCCAACAAGGCAAAGACTTGGGGGAAGAAATTACTAACAGAGAAAGAAAAAAAAAAAGCAACTTAAATTTGCTTACAGAAAGAAGGTGGCTGAATGTATACACACATATACAAGAATTTATATATATAACTGAATCACTGTTGTATAGCAGAAATTAACACATTATAAATCAATTATACTTCAATAAAATAAATTTAAAAAAATTTTTTTAAATAGAAAGTGGCTGAAGCATAAAGAATAAGAGGAAGACTGTAGGAGTCAAGATTCCAGAAGCAGGTATGATGCTGAGCCTTCCAGGCTCTGGGGAGGAGGTCGTAACCTCCTACTATACCTTTATACCTTTGTACATTGAAAAGTTTACCGAGTCACCACCAGCCTTTTCTTCATTGGGCTAAATAATACCAGACCTTTTATTTCTTCTTCTAGATCATCATTTCATAATAGTTTAACAGTGATGGTGACTCTCCTCCAAACACCTCTGTATTTTTCAAAGGTTATAGAATGTTACAGAGAAAGGACATAGTTCAATCTCTTCATCTTTCTGTGCCTCTCCTAGATCAAGTTTCCCTAATAAAATAGGGGGGAATCCACCCTATATTTTAGGAATCTATTTTGTTAGTTAAGGAAAAACCTGATAGTCCTGAAAGCCTGGCTTATTCTTCCTGAAATCAAATAAATGTGGAAAATAAATGTTATATTCCTGGGCTTCCCTGGTGGCGCAGTGGTTAAGAATCCGCCTGCCAGTGCAGGGGACATGGGTTCGAGCCCTGGTCCGGGAATATCCCACATGCTGTGGAGCAACTAAGTCTGTGCGCCACAACTACTGAGCCTGTGCTCTAGAGCCTGTGAGCCACAACTACTGAAGCCCGCGCACCTAGAACCTGTGCTCCCCAACAAGAGAAACCACCACAATGAGAAGCCCGTGCACCGCAACGAAGAGTAGCCCCCGCTCACCGCAACTAGAGAAAGCCCGCACACAGCAATGAAGACCCAACGCAGCCAAAAAATAAATAAATAAGAGGGTTAACATAAATTTTTTTAAAAATCATTTTAAAAAATGTTATATTCCTGATTCAGAGGATAAAGTGCAATATTCCATCCATCTTCTGCAATTTTCCTCCAAGCTTTAAATTAAAAGAAATATATATCCCATGAGGTTGATATAATGATATTTTCAGATACAGCACATACCAGGCCCAAACTCCTTAGTCTAATATTGGAGATCCCAACACTTATCCTTTCCAGCTTCATCTGTCAGATCTTCCTTCCTTTCACCATCTCTGCTACAGCCTCAGCCATGCCCCAAGGTGGAACCAATAGAAATGCAACCTGGCAGGCATTGAGAAGCATCTCACCACCAGCAAGTAAGGTTGGTACGTCTGGACTGAGGAGCATCAGGTAACCCATGAGCTTCAGCCTATCTAGGTGACTTACTCAGCCTTAAAGCAGGTGTTAGCAAACTATGGCCCACTGCTTGTTTTTGTAAATAAAGTTTTATCGGATCACAGTCATGCCCATTCATTTATATACTGCCTGTGATGGCTTTCTCAGTATAACAGCAAAGTGGAGTACTTGTAACAGAGACCATCTCTGGTCCTCAAAGCTTGAATCTTGGCCTCTGAATCTCCAGGCACTCAAGCAGGTTGTCAACTACTTCTGTATTTTATAAATACCCTTTATATTTATTTAGGAGTGGTCCAGCTTCTCTGTCCTCACGGCAACCCAGAGACGCTTCATCATTTAGGATTTTGGTACCCAACTAACCCAGATAACTCCCTCCCTCCTCAGGTTCGACCCTTCCAATATTGACTTTCCCCAGCCTTAGATTTGAATTCAACACCCTTTTGAAGGTGCCGATTCAAACTCTGGCAGAGACAATCCCCAAGTTTACTAGACTGAATTCTTTGCAGATAAAAACGATGTCTTATTTGCTTTTGTATCATATTAACATCGCTAAGAACTTAGCATGCTGCCTCACATATGGATCATATCCAAGAAAATACCTGAAGGAAATAAAAAGTTTAAGAGGAGGAAAGGAGGGAAGAAAGGAAGGAAGAGCTTGAATTCACCCTTTCTGTCCTCCTCTTCTTCAGAGTCTGTCCAAATCTAATGTTTGTGTTCATTAAGAAAAAAAAAAAAAATATGGCCAACTTCTAGTCTATATTCGTTATGTTTCTCTTTCCTTATGATGACATTCAGAGTTTTCAATCAAAGAACAGCACCCAACTATACACTCTCAAGACTCTTTACAGATATAAGTTCCTTTTAATCATTCTTTCTAAGAGGCTTCTCCCAATTGTTAACTAAGATTTTCAAAGGAAAAGGCCACAAGTTAAAGGTCTGCGTCCATTCTCTGACCAGAAATAAATACTCTTGGCTTCTTGCCCACATAACTTGCAGCAAATGCTGCTGGGTTCTCCAGGGGAAAACCAGTTTTCTAGGGCCCCGGTTCCCTGAATCCTGCTATACCCCAGAATCAAGCCCTTACTCTGACGTCCCTGTTTCTCTATAATGCATGCTCGCACATTTACTTCTCACCTTCTCCTCAGCTCGAAGGCTCTTGATGAATTATTTCCAGGCCCTCACTTATCTGTCTTATGCTCCCTTCCCAGCTGGATTGATTTATTTGTTTAGATTCCACTCCACCCCAACCCACCATCATCTGCAGAGTGGGGGTAAGGAGACGGTCTGAAAGCTCTCCCCCAACCCTGTGCTGTGTGAAGTCGAGCACCAGCCTGCAGCTTGTCCCTCCACATCAGATACAAGAGGTGACTGATGCTGCACATCAAACATTCAGTTATCAAAGAGCCAGCAAGAGGGGTGGGAAAGTGGCACTGATGAATGACTGTAGCAGCACAGTATTATTCAAATAATTCAGCACGTTCTCCATAGGCCTGCATTGGCAAGTCACAGCAAAGAGCCAATTTGCTACTGATGACTTCAGAAATGATTCTATTTATCAACAATACCCTGAGCACACCAGAATAGCAACAGCAGCCTGAACCTAGAGACTTGGCTAAGAGGTAGTCCCTCTATGTCTGCTACTACCATTAGCAAGGTGAGTGATTATTATGACAGAGAACGCAAAAACTCTCTTTCTCCCTACGCAGATGTGTAGATGGAATGGTATGTAAAAAGAAAGAAAGAGAGGGAGGGGGAGAGGAGGATGGATGGATGGCTGGATAGCAGATAGATAAATAGATAAGCAGATAGGTAGGTAGGTAGATAGATAGATTGTTTAAATCCAGATTTCATCTCCAGGAATGTCATAAAAGGTAGCATTTACTTCTCAGTCTTATTTTGCAGATGTCAAAACTAAGGAACTATAACTTGAAGGGACTTGTCCAAGTCGATGTCCACCAACAGAGATGGAGACAGAATTATAACTCATAGATAAATTATCATTATTCTAGAGCAGTGGTTCTTAACCACAGGGTGATTTTTGCCCCACAGGGATATTGGCAAGTCCTAGAGACAGTTTTGATTCATGACTGGGGTACAAAGGGGTAGATGTCACCAGCATCTTGTGGATTGAGGTCAGGAGTGCTGCTAAACATCGTATAATGCACAGGACAACCCCCCATGACAAAGAATTATCCAGCCAAAATGCCAAGGTTTAGAAACCTTTTTCTAGAAATGCTGTCAGTAAACTATGCTCCACTGTCTGCTTTTGTGGAACACGGTCATGCCCTATTGTTTACACATTGTCTATGGTTGCTTTTGTGCTACACCAGCAAAGTTAAGTTGTTGTGACAGAAACTGTATGGTCCACAAAGCATAGAATAATGATTATCTGACCTTTCCTAGAGAGTTGGCTGACCTCCGTTCTATAGCATAGGTTATTATTGATAGAAACCAAAAGACACCACTTCCTCGCTGGCCAGGATATATGCACCATACAACCCAAAGGAGCACAGTTCACAAAAACTCCAAGGTAAATGGAATTGTACAACTCAGTGGTCCTGTGCATAGACTGGGTAGATAAGAAGAGTGACTTATTACAAAGATAGTGGAGATCTACTAGAAAAAGTTTCCTAGGAAATCTTTCCATGGTCCCTTTGCCTGAATATCCTTCACATTCATTAAATACACCAACCCTAAGTGTCTACCTCAGGCTTATCCTGATGGAATATTAGTGTCTTGATAATAGATAGCCTCTGACTTGACGATGGGATTGTACCGGGCCTACCAAGACAAAAATGACAACTTGGAAATCAGTAACAGTAGCCATCATTTAGTGAGCATCAGTATCTGCCCGGCCTTAAAGTGGAAACGCAAAAGTCCGTCCTTAAAATTTACCCTGGGCGGGACTTCCCTGGTGGCATAGTGGTTAAGAACCTGCCTGCCAATCCAGGGGACATGGTCTGGGAAGATCTCACATGCCGCGGAGCAACTAAGCCCGTGCATCACAACTACTGAGCCTGCACTCTAGAACCCGTGAGCCACAACTACTGAGCCCGCATGCCACAATTACTGAAGCTTGCATGCCTAGAGCCCGTGCTCTGTAACAAGAGAAGCCACCACAATGAGAAGTCCGTGCACCACAATGAAGAGTAGCCCCCGCTCACTGCAACTAGAGAAAGCCTGCGGGCAGCAACAAAAACCCAAAGCAACCAAAAATAAATAAATAAAATTTCTAAAAGAAAAATTTTACCCTGGGCTTAGCTGAACATAGAAAGGGACATTTTCCTTTGTAGAATTATGAATGTAGAGATCATTAGAAGCAAGGGCTAGTGTACCTACTTCCTTTTTCACATCTTCAGAATCTGAGTCTTTGTCCTCTTCTTCCTCGCCATCATCTTCAAAATCTTCTGAGTGGGAAAAAAAAAAACAGAGGTGAAATGGATGAGGCTTCCCCTTTGCCTTGGATTGAGATTCTCGCCACCCAACGGTTAGTACTTCCCACAAGTAAGGGGCCATTATTAAGTGTACAGGATCCCAACACACGCTTACACTTATTGGATGTGTAAATCATGCACACATAGGCGCGTGAGAGCACTATATCATAACGTCTAAACTGCTGTCCCACACTGAATGCAAAATGAGTGCAGAATAAAATGACACATGAATACCATTCTGGCTTCCTTCACCCAATGTAGAAGTATTTATGCAATTTCTATGTAGAAGTATTTATGCAACTAACATTGCCAGAGTTCAGTGATCACATATATGCCAAAGCTGTTGTAATGTAGACTGCACCTTGACTGATTCCCTAATTTTAATACGAAGGAACTGATTTTAAACAAAAGTCCACAGAAAGCACCCAGTGTCATTGTGACAAGATGATGCCTATGGAAAATCTGTTCCCTGAAAGGAGGACAAGGTTGAAAAGCACTAGTATCGTCTGAACAACAAAATCTTCTCGGAGATTGGATAACCATACTTTCAAGTATTCTAAAATGACTTGCATGGGGTGGCAAAACAGCAAAAGTTTGATTTCAATTTCATCCTTAGGGCAAATTAATTCCAGAACCAGTCTGTATGGTGGAGGGACTCCATCATGGGATTGCAAATAGATTTTTTTAAATCAGCTGAGATGCCTCTACAGGCATTCCATAGCTACCAGGCAAAGTGCCAGCAGTTAATAATTCAGGACAAAATTAACAAGCTTGGTATTATGAAAAACTAGCTTTCTCATACATGTCTCTAATTACTTATTAGATAATCACAGTTGATCTCTTTAAAAAATTGATTCTACTTTCATCCACATTCCTCTGAAATATTATCCAAATACAAAAGTTCATCATAAAGCTCATAACTATGAGCAAACTAAGTACAGAAGAGCTACCCACATACTCTACCTTCAGTTAGAACACATGGAGGTTCAGAGGCGGTGCTCCCAGGCGCTGGGAAGGAATAAGCACTGCTGGCTGTGACCAAGGGAAGTGGACTCTTAGGGTAGCATTGCCTCAGGATCTGAAGCACAAGGGAGATGACAGGCTCCAGACTTTTGTCATCCAGGCAGTTCTGAACAAAGAGAAGATCATATCAGACACTGACATCTTGTGTGGAGTCCCTCTGCTATAATGTTATTTCAAGTAATGGATTACACGCAGCCTAAATGGACAGTAAATATCCTTAATGTAGAACATCTAATCTGAACATTCTAATGGAGAATTTTGTCTAACACAGGATCTGCTTTGGTCCAGTGTGTAATCTGCATTTTTATTTCTCTTTTACAGCTAATATATTATTGAAATGAATTTAGTCTGAAAATAGACTTCAGAGACTTTCAAGGGATGCTGCACCTAACGTAAAACATTGTCCAGAATAGCTGAGGGAAGAGGAGGTAATGGCATCTTCCTTCAACCATCCATGTGTCGTTGTGAATTATTGCCTAAATTAGAGAGTGAGTAGCTGAATTGATAGAAGGCTTACTTTTCTCTTTCAGCTATGATCTGAAGAGAAAAATATCAAGGAAAAAGATAAAATATGAAATCAGAAGAAAGACTAAGAGAATCCCAAGTACCTAACTTAAGTAACATGCTTCTTCTCAAAGCCCACAGTGGTGATCTCTCTTGGTACCTACACAAAGCAAAGAAAAATTGGGTTTGCAGATGTAACATTTTGATACTGATGGAACATGACAAGACCCTTCTTTTCAGCCACTGTGAAAAATGTAAGAACAAGTTTACTAAATTGAGAGACAGAGAGTTGGGAGTAGTCAGTATGTCTTTGGCAAAAATATGGCCATTTTCTGCAGTCTCTTAGTAAATGTTTTGTCTACTGACTTGATACAGAAAGTTGACTAATGTAAGCCTCCACTTTGGTATTACTAAGGGGTTTCCACTAAGCTCTAAGGCCAATAAGTCACAGCAGGAGATATGGAGGATGCTTACAATATGCCACAGGGCAGTGACAATTATGCCAGGCATGGTACCTCCAGGCCCACATTATGGGCTGCTCCACAGGAAAGAATATGGAGGAAAAACATTTAATAAAATTTAAGCCATGGATTCAAGCTACCCAAATGACTCCAAAGTAAAAAAAAAGTAAGCCAACTTTCAAAACAGAAATTTCTTAATAAAATCAACAATGCTATTTCCGAGGAGGAGCTTCAAGATGGTGGAAGAGTAAGAAGTGGAGATCACCTTCCTCCCCACAAATACATCGAAACACATCTACACATGGAACAACTCCTACAGAACACCTACTGAACGCTGGCAGAAGAACTCAGACCTCCCAAAAGGCAAGAAAGTCCCCACGTAGCTGGGTAGGGCAAAAGAAAAAAGAAAACAAAAGAATAGGGACGGGACCTGCACCAGTGGAAGGGAGCCGTGAAGGAGGAAAGGTTTCCACACACTAGGAAGCCCCTTCGTGGGCAGAGACTGCGGGTGGCGGAGGGGGGAAGCTTCGGAGCCGTGGAGGAGAGCACAGCAACAGGGGTGCGGAGGGCAAAGCGGAGAGATTCCCGCACAGAGGATCGGTGCCGATCGGCACTCACCCACCGGGGCGGGCAGGGGCTGGGAGCGGAAGCTTCCGCTTTGGAGGTCAGATCCCAGGGAGAGGACTGGGGTTGGCGGCATGAACACAGCCTGCAGGGGGTTACTACACCATGGCTAGCCGGGAGGGAATCCGAGAAAAGGTCTGGAGCTGCCGAAGAGGCAAGAGACTTTTTCTTGCCTCTGTTTCCTGGTGCACAAGGAGAGGGGATTAAGAGCGCTGCTTAAAGGAGCTCCAAAGACGGCGCAAGCCGCAGCTAACAGCACAGACACCAGAGACGGACTTGAGACGCTAAGGCTGCTGCTGCCGCCACCAAGAAGCCTGTGTGCGAGCACAGGTCACTATCCACACCGCCCTTCCGGGGAGGCTGTGCAACCCGCCACTGCCAGGGTCCCGTGATCCAGGGACAACTTCCCCGGGAGAACGCACGGTGCGCCTCAGGCTGGTGCAACGTCACGTCAGCCTCTGCCGCCGCAGACTTGCCCCACATTCTGTACTCCTCCCTCTCACCGGCCTGAGTGAGACAGAACCCCCTAATCAGCTGCTCCTTTAACCCTGTTCTGTCCGAGTGAAGAAAAGACACCCTCAGGCGACCTACACACAGAGGCGGGGACAAATCCAAAGCTGAACCCTGGGAGCTGTGCAAACAAAGAAGAGAAAGGGAAATCTCCCCCAGCAGCCTTAGCATCAGCAGATTAAAGCTCCACAATCAACTTGATGTATCCTGCATCTGTGGAAGACCTGAATAGACAACAAATCATCTAAATTGAGGTGGTGGACTTTGGAAGCAATAATATATATATATATATATATATATGTATATATATATATGTATTTTTTTTTTACTTTTTCTATTTTTCTGAGTGTGTATGTGTATGCTTCTGTGTATGACTTTGTATGGCTTTGCTTTTACCATTTGTCCTAGGGTTCTGTCTGTCCGTTTTTTCGTGTGTGTGTGTGTTTTTGTTTTTTGGTATACTTTTTAAGCGCTTGTTATCATTGGTGGATTTGTTTTTTTGCTTGATTGCTCTCTTCTTTCTTTATTTTTTTATTACTTAAAAAATTTTCTTCTTATTTTTAACATTTATTTATTTTTTATTTTAATAACTTTCTTTTACTTTCTTTTATTTTATTTTTTCTTTCTTTCTTTTTTTTCTCCCTTTTATTCTGAGCCATGCGGATGACAGGGTATTGGTGCTCCGGCCAGGCATCAGGCCTGTGGCCTCTGAGGTGGGAGAGCCGAGTTCAGGACACAGGTCCACCAAAGACCTCCAAGCTCCACATAATATCAAACAGCAAAAATCTCCCAGAGATCTCCATCTCAACGCCAAGACCCAGCTCCACTCAATGACCAGCAAGCTACAGTGCTGGACACCCTATGCCAAACAACAAGCAAGACAGGAATACAACTCCACATGTTAGCAGAGAGGCAGCCTAAAATCATAATAAGGTCACAGACACACCAAAACACACCACTGGACGCACACCTGCCGACCAGAAAACCAAGATACAGCCTCATCCACCAGAACACAGGCACTACTCCCCTCCAGCAGGAAACCTACACAACCAACTGAACCAACCTTAGCCACTGGGGGCAGACACCAAAAACAATGGGAACTATGAACCTGCAGCCTGTGAAAAGGAAACCCCAAACACAGTAAGTTAAGCAAAATAAGAAAACAAAGAAACACACAGCAGATGAATGAGCAAGATAAAAACCCACCAAACCTAAAAATGAAGAAGAAATAGGCAGCCTACTTGAAAAAGAATTCAGAATAAGGATAGTAAAGATGATCCTAAATCGTGGCAATAAAATGGAGAAAATACAAAAAACGTTTAGAAGGGACCTAGAAGAACTAAAGAGCAAACAAACAATCATGAACAATACAATAAATGAAACTAAAAATTCTCTAGAAGAGATCAATAGCAGAATAACTGAGGCAGAAGAACGGATAAGTGACCTGGAAGATAAAATAGTGGAAATAACTACTGCAGAGCAGAATAAAGAAAAGAGAATGAAAAGAACTGAGGACAGTCTCACAGACCTCTAGGACAACCTTAAAGGCACCAACATTCGAATTATACGGGTCCCAGAAAAAGAAGAGAAAATAAAGGGACTAGACTGAGAAAATATTTGAAGAGATTATAGTTGAAAACTTCCCTAATATGGGAAAGGAAATAATTAATCAAGTCCAGGAAGCACAGAGAGTCCCATACAGGTTAAATCCAAGGAGAAACATGCCAAGACACATACTAATCAAACTATCAAAAAATTAAATACAAGGAAAAAATATTAAAAGCAGCAAGGGAAAAATAACATACAAGGGAATCCCTATAAGGTTAACAGCTGATCTTTCAGCAGAAACTCTGCAAGCCAGAAGGGAGTGGCAGGACATAATTATTAAGTGATGAAAGGGAAAAACCTACAACCATGATTACACTACCTGGCAAGGATGTCATTCAGATTCAAAGGAGAAATTAAAACCTTTACAGACAAGCAATAGCTAAGAGAATTCAGCAGCACCAAACCAGCATTACAGCAAATGCTAAAGGAACTTCTCGAGGCAGGAAACACAAGAGAAGGAAAAGACCTACAAAAACAATCCCAAGAAAATGGTAATAGGAACATACATATAGATAACTACCTAAAATGTAAATGGATTAAATGCTCAACCAAAAGACATAGAATGGCTGAATGGATACAAAAACAAGACCCATATATATGCTGTCTATAAGAGACCCACTTCAGACCTAGGGTCACATACAGACGGAAAGTGAGGGGATGGAAAAAGATATTCCATGCAAAAGAAAATCAAAGGAAAGCTGGAGTAGCAATTCTCATATCAGACAAAATAGACTTTAAAACAAAGACTATTACAAGAGACAAAGGACACTACATAATGATCAAGGGATTAATCCAACAAGAAGATATAAAAATTGTAAATATTTATGCACCCAACATAGGAGCACCTCAATACATAAGGCAATTCTTAACAGCCATAAAAGGGGAAATGGACAGTAACACAATCATAGTAGGGGATTTTAGCACCCCACTATCACCAACGGACAGATCATCCAAAATGAAAATAAATAAGGAAACACAAGCTTTAAATGAAACATAAAACAAGACGGACTTAATTGATATTTGTAGGACATTCCATCCAAAAACAACAGAATACACTTTCTTCTCAAATGCTCATGGAACATTCTCCAGGATAGATCACATCTTGGGTCACAAATCAAGCCTTGGTAAATTTAAGAAAATTTAAATCGTATCAAGTATCTTTTCCGACTACAACAGTATGAGAGTAGATATCAATTACAGGAAAAAATCTGTACAAAGTACAAACACATGGAGGGTAAACAATACACTATTTAATAAACAAGGGATCACTGAAAAAATCAAACAGGAAATAGAAAAGAACCTAAAAACAAATAACAATGAAAACACGACAACCCAAAATCTATGGGATGCAGCAAAAGCAGTTCTAAGACGGAAGTTTAGAGCAATACAATCCTACCTT